GGGGGGGGGGAATTATCCACTATTTTATGTGCTAATAATTTTTTTTATGGAAGCTCTCAGTGCTAGTTAATTTGAAAATGAATAGCTAGTGCTTCAGAAGGCTACAAGCATAGAGTTTAAGTCTAGAAAGGGCATGCCAGCCATTGCACATTGAGATACAGTGAGCTCTCCCGCTTCATAACCTGCGATCTAAGGCAGATTTTCCAGGGCTAGCACAGGAAATTAAAACCCTCTCCTGGTAAATCAGTGCTCAGCATAAGTGACATCTGCTGCCCATTCACCTCCTCTCTGCACTTACAGGCAAGAACTCAGTCCAAGGGAGCGAAGGTCTGCACAGCCTATGGCAGGGAAACCCATGGCAAGGGAAAAACAATGTTCTCCTTGGTATGAAGCTGAGAAACAGGCTGGGGGAGGTGAAGGAAGGGCTCTCAGATCCTGTGTTTCACAGACAGACAACTAACCTGGACAGGACATGTCCCTGATGGATAGCTTTCAGATGCCTGAAGCTAATAATGAGGTGGCTGAAAGTCAACCACACTCTTGGCCTCAAGTCTTTCTTCCTGTGATGTTTCGTTGGAAAGCTAATTGAAAATGTAGTTAAATTTCACTTGGACAGCATATTTTAAACTTTGTGGCAGGAAGTATTTTACTTAATGCTATTACAGTGCTTTACACTTTTATACTGCATGTTTTAACATGTGAAACAATTATAAATGACTGAGGAAATCTGAACTTTAAAACAAAGCGCCTACTGTTCAAGGTACAACTTTTGTTGGAAAACTCTGCCAAAACAGACAACAGTTTGGCCATTTACTGCATGCTACAACACTCATGACAGGCAACTGCTGCATACTGACGTTCTTGTACATAAGGCTTAATAGTTTTACTAGAATTAATCGATTTTATTTCTAGGCACAAATCCCTCAGACTCAAAGGGAATTTCCAGATGATTACTGAGAGTCTATGAATGGTTAAAAAGTGCCAGTCAGCCAAAAACAACCTGCAGAATGTCATAATTCTCTTTAAACAGATTACTTTAAGGCATAATTTTCCTCGATAGCAATTACACTTAAATTCCCACATTTTAATTAATTTTACGTGTACGGAGGCATTTTCCCACTTCTTACAGAATTAGCTTTTGCATTTCAGTCTATTTCATTTAAAATTAGATAAAATTACAGAAATGGGAACTATATTATAAAGCACTCTGAAGTTAAATTATTACTCTACAAATTTTTGTATGTCTTATTTGGACATAAACAAAATGAAAATTAATAATGTCATTCAGAAGTATGCAGATTCATACTTGAATAAATTACCACATATCTTCTACAATGGGTCTGTTTCCACTGGTGTAACACAGTACCTTCGAATAGCCACAGTGAGAGCTTCTGGTGAACTAGCGCAGGGACAAATGACCTCCTGTCTTAGACCTTTACTTTGGAAGACATTGAGAAATGCATCACAGGAAGAAATAGACCCTGGGGTAAAGAAAAAAAAAAATCAGAGGAGAAAAACAATCCAGTTTCTGAAGTGATGCTATTCAAACTGCAAACCTGCTATTGAATATACAGGCTTTTCAGAAGAAAAATTTTAAAAAGCACCCATGACCACTGGGAAAGAAGTCGTAGCTGCTACAACTATATATATGTATGTATATACAGTTGTGTATGTGCACAGAGAATAAAGACTAATTTTTGAGCATAAAGTCCTTTCACTATGCTTGCATAGAAAAGCCATTACGGCTAAATTTATGGTACAAATTTTATTACAGTTTTCTTTTTTAGGATGACACAAATTAAAGATTTAACTCAGAAACTCATTGCAAACTACTACAAACAAGCAGAACACCTATACTTTGGTATCTTAAATAACACACAGAAACAGTTCAAGCTATTAACTGTCATGAAGTGATCCAGGTGTGGTTCCCCAGGGTAGTATAAGTATTCACCTAAAATTCTCAGTTACTTCTGCATCTGAGCACCATCATTCAGAAGAAATGTTCAGAGCCTTTCTATAGCTTAAGGTTATTTACTTCAGTCTTTATATATGACTGTCATGGTAGCCAAAACTGGATTTACCTAAATTTATGTTATGTAGAATATCAAGTTTGTTTCAGGATTAGCTAAAGAAAAATATATTTTAAAAAACAAATTAATTACTGTTTCCAGAAATATAATACAGTTTGCAGTGCACAAACCCTATCCTTTTAAAATATTTTAGCTAAGGTGATTGAAAATTTGAAACTGTAAATGCAAGACAGAAAATACTTCCTATGCTCTACTGGACTGCAGAAGTATAGCTTACATGGGTTTGCACCATCAGCCACTATCAGCATACGCAGTGAGGAAAGGTTGATGTCTCTCTGATCTCGATGTGCCACCAATGCCCAGTGCATGTCTCTGGATTTTACACAGGCAACTTTTGCTGCAATAAGAATGGGAAGATTACTAATACACCATATAAAAGCTATACAGCTGTATTATTAATTTGTACTTTTGATGTTGACTGTCATGCATACATGTGTATGTTCTTGTTCCTTACCTTTGTATTGACAGACTTTTTGTATCCATGACAGTGGATTCACTTTCATTAAGGAGTATGGAATACTTATAACATGCATCATGTTCATGACACTCTGAAAGCAAATAAGATAAATGGGTTTTATACAACAATCATGATAACTATTTATATTGTGTTATGGGCAGGGGCATCTATGCAAATCATTCCATGCTTGTTTTGTTGTCAGTGCTGGCATTTATCTTTTTGTATCTAGCTATCTACATTAAGATGAAAGAGAACCTCATTTTCTAATGCTTTAATTAAGGGTTAAGGATTTAGACTAATCAGATCATAACTTTGAAGTGGTACTGAAATAAAAAGAAACAAATTTTCTTTCCATTTATACTCTAAGTGATTTACTTTAAATAGAAAAAATAAAAATACACTGGATGAACGATGTCTGCAGGTTTGTTATGTAGGTTAATATTATCCTTAAGCCTGCTAAACTTCAGTATATATGAAGACGCTTTACTCAGAAAGACAGGTAACAGTAACATGTCTGTCTAAAGAAATAAATCTCTGTGAAGAGTGAAAAACTACTAATGGTAGTGGGGCACAAATTATTTAAAAGACAGTAGACAGAGAAATTGAAGTTACAGATTAAGCAGAGATCAATTTATTCTAACTGAAAATAAATTAAGGATTTTTTTAGTCCTTCTCCAGGTGGGCTAATTCCAGCATTTTCAACAAGGTCATGAAAAATTGCAGGAATTTTAGAAAAAGTAGCTGAGTGAAACAAATGACAGGTCCAAACCTGATCTCCCAGCCTGAGGCAGTCAATTGCTTTAGCGATTTCTCAGTGTTACTGCTAAACAATCAGCTTGGAAATGAGCCCCTGCTTTACTGCTGTTACCACTTAGAAACAACTTCTGAGTGCAACGTGTCTCCACTCACAGCAGCTCAGGTTAAATACAGTATTTGCTTTGGAAAACCTAGGCTTAAGAAAGGTTAAGTGTCCCACTGGATTAGTCATCTAAACACTTGTAGACCTGCAAAAGATAGTTCCCCTTCAGTCTGCCACAAGTGTAAGTACAGGAAAAGCACTTACAGGCAAGCCATGAAAAAAATGAAGTTCATACAAAGATTAATAGCAAAGGAAGGCACAGAAAAGCTCTAGTAAATGCTTGCTTTCAAGTTCAATGCTAAAGAGTTTTTTAACATGAGATACTTATGAGCATTAAGCCTAATAGATTGTTTCTGCTTCAGAAGTGTTGTTACTGCCCTTTGATATTAAGAACAGTATAACACTGCATGGAAAAAGTGTATCAGTTCCCTGGGAACCACAGCATGTAGGGCCTGTACATCCTGGGACCCCCAAAGAGTGACCCTTCAAAACTTGGTGTTTGTTGTTAAAATGATGACTGAATAGTAAATATGATGTCAGTCACTGACTGCAGAAGCACCTTTAGAAGCAATCCTTGAAGATATGTCAATTGCCTCCCATGTCAATCGAGGAAGATATTCAAACAGTGAGCGGACAATTAATGCAATTTAAAGTATCAGAAATGCTTTAATGTTAGCAAAACCATCTGCTGGTGAGAGTTTTGATAGAGAAGCTAGTCAGTGGCAATACAGCTATGCCACTGGATCATATCCTTACAGAGGCAAGTATTAATTTAATTTGTTTCTGCTATGAAGTCTGATCTCAAAATCACACAACAGTAAGATCAGAATAACATGGTAAGAATGGGGCCAGAATACTTGACATGACACATAAAAATACACTGGCATCTCTATGGTGCTTATTATGGGTAAGTGCACTAGCAGAAGACCATGGGTTTCAGTCATATATTTTTTTATTTCAAAGCAGAAAAATTTGTATCAGAAGAAACTGCAGGATAGTAATAAACATATTATGTTAGTTTATTTTCAAATACTCATATAAAATAAAAAAAAACATACTTACTGTAAGAATCCCATGCCATAAACCAACATCTTTCTTGAAATCTAGTACATTCACAATTGTTTCAGCTGTTCAAGAAAAACAAAACAGAGTTTATTTTTTAGAACATGGTACTGACCCAAGGCAAACCCATTCAAAGGAAGGAAGCTTCAGTATAACATGACTGATGACCTCGAAGCTTAACTTTCATAGTAAAGTCTCCACTGCAGGATTTGTATTGGCTAGGACGTTATTTGTACCTCTCACAAAGATATTTTAAATGTGTATATATTATCTAAAACTAATGAAAAAAAATCAGGTTATTAAATCTAGAAGCCTTTGACACAGATCTGTGTAAAACATAAGACATCAGCCTGATGCGAAACAAATTACAATTCACACTTGGTTTTAAGCATGAAGCAAGGGGAGCGTTCTCCTTACCTTCTGTGTATCCACACGCCTGGGTCAGAGCTTGGCAGTGTGTCAGCAGTGCAATCCTTGTCACAGTAACCCCAAGCACGCTTCCATCTTTACATGTTTTGTACTAAAAAGAAATAAGCAGAGAAAGTCACTGTGCAATAGTTGCCCTATTTCCATTATTTAACAGGTACGTTTTAAAGTGTTTCCTAGGTAGGTGAATGATGGACACATCTAATGACTCTATTTTAAGAAGGTAGCAGCACTGAGCAGTTTGGGAAGCATTTTTTTGTTAGAAGATGCTTTTTTCAGATGGGCTTTCTCTTTTTGACTGAAGCTTCCCAGGCTTGATAATCAGAAATCCATCTGGTTTTTGAATATAAGCATTATGAAAAAATAAATCTAACAATTCTGATCACATTAATGACTAAAGGACTGGGTAGATTTAGCAGAGAATAACCTAGTTCAGGCTGCTCAGTGTTCACATGTTAGATTTATAGGCCAATCAATAAACCTGAGCTTCTCCCTTCTGTGTCTTATAAAGCAAAGGATAAGAGTTGACTGCAGAATCCTTGCTGAGTATGTTACAATAATCTATATGTATATATTCTGAATATGTATACAGTCTGAAAGACAGAAGCTCTTTGATCGGAAGAAAATGAAAGTGTCATGAGAAAGCAGCATAAAAAAGAGGTGAGAGATCATTGCTGAAGATTGCAGTAATTTTTGCAACTTTATGCAAGAGTATGAAAACTATCAGTGGCAATTAAAGTAAATTAAACATTTATTTTTCCCCATGATGAAGATAATCAGCAAGATTGAAAACTGAGACATCTCTGCTTCTCTAGCCCAGTGTTCTCATTATGTGAAGATAGGAAATACCTTTGCTCCATTCACTTCAACTTATTCCCTTTGAATAATCATTTAAATTCCATACTAACATCACTGACTTTGAGGCATTTGAATCTATGCAAAGTAGGAAAAAAGAATGAAAAAAAAGAGAGAAAATTTAATCTTAAAAGCACTGCTAGTTTTGCTTTCCTGATGCTGGTCTCCTGGGGAGAGTGTGACTCACAAAGCAGTAAGTGACAGCAAACATTTGAATCAGAAGTTCCTTCTCTTTCAAAGGGATTGAAGATTGTGATATAAGACTGAAGCTGCACCGTGAAACTTGCCATCTACCCATCCCAAGGGTAGTGGCCGAGCCCACACTGTGAACAAGACCAAGACTGATCAAGGCAACTTTAATATAATATTGTGGCAGCCACACAGATGACTTAAAAACATTAACGTAGAAACCCTCAAAATGCAATTTAACATTTCATTAACTTTTCTGAAATCAATATCCAACATAATTTATTAGAAAATATTACTTATTAACAGGCTAAAACAGGATGTTATTTGCTTCTGTGACTAGCGAATTAATAATAATGTTTACCTAATCCAGAAGTGCCACATGCAATGATTCGAGGAGAGGATGTATCTTCGTTAACTCACCTCAATGTAAGCTGTGTCATTGTTTGCATCCTTGATGTGTGGGAACCAGTCGCGAGGCGGCTTGGATAGGTGTTTAGACTCTGTGACAAACCACAGCAGCTTTGGCCAGCCTGAGGTACAAAGGAAAGTCAGTTTTTGTTGCTCTGACAAGATAAGACAAAACTCTTCCCTGACAGATATTTTTTTCCGCAAATGCCCGTGTCACCATTATGTAAACATTGCTTCTTTTAAACCTCAGTGCAGCATAGGAAAGAACGTTTTTCCAGAACTGCTTTCCTAACACGGCCACCGTGGCCTTCTCAGACAGTCCCTGAAGAAATGGTTGGGCAGTTTAAGCTGTTATTGATCCAAATAGTTTACTACCATTCTGCTGTTAGTGGTTACTCTCCCTAGCACTTAGCTATAGGACTGAATCGTACAAATGCTTCTCGTCTACTGCAGTCCTAAGTCTGTTGGTTTAATTTCTCCTGTGGTCACAGATGATCTCAGCAGCCTGGCTGAGCCAGCAGAGAACCAGACCAGGAGCACTCGTACCGCTTGGCAGCCATCAGGCAGGAGCAGCAATCTCTTCCAGCCGGCCAGTGACATGCAGCTGGGCCGATCGTGTCTCCGCAGCCATGGTTGCTCCTGGGGCAAGTGTTTCATCACAGGCCTGATCCTCACCCACTACAACCAAACAAGTGTAATGATTGTTCTTGTAGCAAGTGAACCCTGATATCCATGATAAGCTTACCTTTAAACTGTGGGATCTCCCCTGTGGGGCTTTTAGGCAGTCCTTTATGGCATGCGTCGCTAGTCAAGGCCACAGTAACTCCACAGCTTCCAAGTAAAAAGCCTATTTGTTGACTTCCTGCATCCTAAGAGATGACAAAATAAAAGCAACACACAGAATTTACTAGAAGTGATTACAAGTTAAAAACATTATTATCCTTTGGCACATTATCTTGCAAGGAAAACAAGTCTCTTTCCTTTGAGCAACTTAGCTGATTAGCAAAACTCATTTGTACATCGACAAAGGAATTCCGCAACCTAGATATCTTATCTGTAACAACATAAATTATAAAGAGAACTGAAGCCATCAGATGGTGCCTGCTCTCACATCTCTTGAGAAATGACAGCATGTGGCTGGGAGGAGTGACTGAGGGTTGTGCCATCCAGAGGGACCCCCGGAGAAATGGGCTGACAGGAATCTCACGAAAGTTCAACAAAGGCAAATGCAAAGTCCTGCACCTGGGGAGGAACAAGCCCCTGCACCAGCATGGGTGGGGGCTGACTGGCTGGAAAGTAGATTTGTAGTAAAGGACCTTGGGGTCCTGACAGACACCAAGTTGAATGTCAGCCAGCAACGTGCCCATGCACAAAGAAGGCAAATGGTATCCTGGACCATGTTAGGCAAAGCATTGCCAGCAGGTTGAGGGAGGTGATCGTCTCAGTAGAGTGTCCCTCTACTCAGCACTAGTGAGGGACATTTCAAATGCTGGATCTAGTTCTCGGCTTCCAAGTACAAGACGCAGAGTCACTGGTGAGAGTCCAGTAAAGGGCCACTATGATAACTAAGGGACTGGAGCATCTCTGTTGAGGAAAGACTGAGAAAGCTGGGATTGCTCAGCCTCAGGAAGAGAAGGCTTAGAGGGGGACCTCATTGATGTGTACAAACATCTGAAGGGAGAGTGTAAAGAAGACCGAGCCAGGCTCTTTCCAGTGGTGCCCAGTGACAGGACCAGAGGCAACGGGCACAAACCAAAACAGAGGAGGCTCCTTCTGAACATAAGGAAACACTTTTTTCTGTGAGGGTGACTGGCACAGGTAGCCCAGAGAAGTCGTCGAGTCTCCATTCTTGGAGATATTCACACCTAGATAAAGTCCTGGACAACCTGCTCTAGATGGCCCTGCTTGAGCAGGTGAGCTAGACCAGATGACCTTCAGAGGTCTCTTCCAATCTCAACCATGTTGTGATTTTGTGACAATTCTAGGAAATAGGGGTTACAGATGCATCCACCTGGAGAAAGCCTTCAACCCCTAAGATTGGCCAAGAAGGCCAATGGCATCCTGGGGTGTATTAGAAGGGGTGTGGTTAGTAGGTTGAGAGAGGTTCTCCTTCCTCTCTACTCTGCCCTGGTGAGGCCGCATCTGGAATATTGTGTCCAGTTCTGGGCCCCACAGTTCAGGAAGGACAGGGAACTGCTTGAGAGAGTCCAGCACGGAGCCACCAAGATGATTAAGGGAGTGGAGCATCTCCCTTATGAGGAAAGGCTGAGGGAGCTGGGTCTCTTTAGTTTGGAGAAGAGGAGACTGAGGGGTGACTTCATTAATGTTCATAAATTTGTAAAGGGCGAATGTCAGGAAGACGGAGCCAGACTCCTCAGTGATGTCCAACGGCAGGACATGGAACACAGGAGGTTCCGCTTAAACTTGAGAAGAAACTTCTTTCCAGTGAGGGTGCCAGAGCCCTGGGACAGGCTGCCCAGGGAGGGTGTGGAGTCGCCTTCTCTGGAGATGCTCAAAACCCTCCTGGACACCTTCCTGTGTGATCTCATTGAGGTTCCTGCTCTGGCAGGGGGGTTGGACAGATGATCTTTCGAGGTCCCTTCCAACCCCTAACATTCTGTGATTCTCTGTGTCATTCTGTGGTGTTATGGTGGGCACACAGTGATAACAGTATCATTGTTTATGCTGATCTAACCTGATTTGTCAATAACCATTTCAATGCATAGTCACAGACACATTTCAGGAGCACTACAGATAGTCAAGTGCCCATTACAGAAAGCACAATACATTTTACTTTCATCAAGGGGATATAGGCAGTGAAGCTAAAAAGTCATGTAATGATTTTCAAGTCTAGGCCATAGCTGTTCTTTAAGAGATGCTGTGCTTCTACAGCATTATGTCTGCTTTATGTATAGCGTCTTGTCATGATTCTTTCATGAACTTTACATCTATCCACTAGGCTCTTTAACAGAGCAAAGCCTGAGATGTAAATATGCATATTAACCCTTTATTCACAGAATGATTCTACAGAAAATAGCCTATGGAGTCATAAGATCAAATTAAAATATCTTTCAAATCAACCATAAAGAACACTTAACCATGGAAGCATGTTAAGTGCAACCATAAAGAACACTTAACCATGGAAGCAACCAGAAATACAGAACAGTCGCCTTAAACTGTTGATGTATTCAAAGCAAACTTTATGATGGAAAGAAAGCCTCAAAGCATATCTGACTAATTTTCAATGCAATTTTTATGTAGTCAAAGAAAGCCATCTACAACAGGGAAACAATGAGATCAGAGGAAAAGCAAAAGCTTACTTGTTTTCCATACCACCTCAAAATATGTATATGGTACCAATTATCAGAACTTTGAAAGCTGAGCAAACAATGCGGGACAATAAACTGATCTGTGAGAACTCCGCTATGTAACTCCTTCCGTTCAGAACTGCTGCATTTGCTTGTGTTTACTATAACCAGAAAGCAAAAAAACCCAGGAAAAATTAACAGGGCACTTTTTCAGGAAGGCTTTTTAAAATTAAGCTTGGGCATAATCTTTTCCAATAAAAAAACAGACAAGGAGAGTATCCTTTGAACAACAGAGAATACTGATGTATCCATGAACAATGTTCTGGGGAGCATGTTGTCAACCCCACTGTACCTGCATCACGGGGACTTCCAGGACAAAAAGGGCTTTGTCAAGCATTACTGTCCTCACTGACTCTTGCCAGTGGTCCATATCTAGCTGGGCCACATCTATGTTGTCAAACCCCTGGGACAAATGCTTAGCCTGATTGGATCCTGATTCCACATTAGGACAAGACCTGGCGTCTCCACTCTTGAGTCTGCTCAACAGAAGGAAATTTGGGTGCCTTAACAGTGCAGGAGAGATGGCTCTCCTTGGAGTCTCTCAGAAGGAATGGCAGGAAGATGAGGGCTGGAGTGCTCCATGGACATCACTCCTTGGGCAACACATAGCCTCTGAGACCTGCTACTCTATCATGTATAAAGGGAGGTCACCAGTGTCTTAAAACATCAGATCCATACTATCATTACCCCAAATTTACCGCTAAATTCAATCTAAAAATGGTTACCAATATATGTATATACGTTGATTTCTAACTACCAATTAAAAATAAATTGCATATAAATTTCATAATTGAATGTATTAACTTAATCACTCTCAATTTTAAATTAAAAATAAAATGTTGTTGTAGCCCTATGCCCTATAAAGACTGCTAGCAAACTGTTTCACCACTGTACCGAGAAAATGCCGATTCTCAGGCAAGCAAATTCCATTTAATGCAGGACTTCATAAGCAGAAACTAATGTAATGAATTCCACTAAGAAATCTAACATATGTAAACCAGTAGAAGGTGTGGACCTTAGAGCATCAGCATATCATGGCCCTGGGGGATGCATCAGTTAAGAAATGATCTGTCAAGCTCTTCTCATAGTAAAACAAAACAACAGGAAAAGGAAACTTGTATTAACAGTTTGAGGTTTTGGATAACACAAGAAAGAATGACTGTGCTTCCAATTGGTGCCATATCAACCAGTTGAGAGCATGTCCACATAAATATGATTTATTCATTTGTATGTTGTTCACACACAAGCAGAGAGAATCATGTAAAGATTACTTAATACAATCTACTCAGGACAACCCAATCTCCAATAGCATCTAAATCTTCACCTCAGTTCTTCTCTGTATAGTTAATTCTTTCATTTGAAAGGACAACATGGCTAGGCAGTTATGTGATGCAACACTACGCCAAGAGAGTGGAAGAATTTCACCATGCGTGGACAATATCCACTGTGTTTTACAGGCTTTCAAATCCTGTGCTATGCCCTTGGTGTCCCCACTAAATCCTGCCTTGCAAGAAAAAAAGCAAATCAAGATACTGAGGTAGAGAAGCTGCAATAGACACTGTTCCCTTCGGACACAGGGGCTCCAGTTGAGGATCCTACAGTATGAACACAACGAAGCTCTCTGGTAGGCTGCTAGTCTGTGTCCATCATTCCCGCTTTCAGTCTCAGTCTCACACCTCCTAACTAGTTATCACTACCTCCTGCCTGCTTCTGGTGGCTTCATCCTCACTTAGAAGCAAAAAGCACTGCAGGGAACAGAGACATGAAGAAGGGGCTGACAGTCCTTGTCCCATGCAGGTACCTGCTGCCCCACAGAAGCAATTGTTTCTAACTACTCAAATGGTGTTGAGCTACGGGACTGAGAGCCAGGAGGTGGAAGATCTGAAACCATCTCAAGCTGAGAGCATCACACATCCCAGACATACCACAACCTTACCTACACAGTCAAGAACGCAAACACAATAGTCTTCGCTATTTCTCTTACCTCAGCATGACAGGCCCAGAGCAGTGAGGACCTTGAGTAACACTTGTAAGACTGAAAAACTGAGTTTGAGTTGAAAACGCAGTCACTTGCACGTAGCAGTCAAAGCTTCCATGTGGGCCAGGAAAAAGACTACTGACTTTAAAGGCATTGCTTATTTCAGATATCAGACACAAGCTATCAGCATCTCTTTTGAGTAATGTAAACTGAACGTCTGCAGTACTGAAAACTGCTTTGTAAGTAGAAAAAAATGACACCAAATTATCTGCTGCTGAAAAAAAAGAAAAAAAAAATCCTCCTTCTGCCTTAAATAAAACCCCTCCCCAGCCCGTAAAGGCAATAGATTTTCAGGACACACTGTTTGGTCAGTGGTGTTATTTGCTATTTTGGTAATTTATGCTAATCTGCTACTTTGGCAATCCTCACTTGCCACAAACACTTTATTTTGTTGAATTTTGTGGGGGTAAAAAAAATCGCAGGGAGCCAGTGGAGACCAGGTGAAATAACCCAAGGAACGCAGTCCCAACCACAGATGGGCAGAGACTTGCCAGCGATGCTCATTGTCAAATCCTCCACAATTCACAGTTTGAAATGACACGTAATGCAGGTGGAAGGCATAAGATAGAGCTGAGGTATTGTAGCATGAGGTTTGAGACCAATTGCTGACTTTGAAACTAATATTTTCCATTTCTTGAAGGCACAGCACTTGCTGAGGTACGAAAAATGAGGTCTGCATAGCTTTAGACTATGTCTGCACACACCTAGAGAGATCAATCTTTCAGATGAAGTGAGCCGGAAATCCTCTCTGCTGTAGGTAGCCATTCAAGGTTCTCTAAAGACTTTTATTAAAGGTTCCCTAAAGGTTTTCACCAGTACCTGGAGGCAAATTGTCTTCTTCCTGCTGCAGAGAGTGATAATTCATTGTCAGGATAAAAAAATCCCACGTGTGGCTGCATTTCAGCATGCTGTTAATGTCATCTCTACAACGCTTTGTGAGAGTATCTGTGTGAAGGAAAACAATTACGATCCTTTCTCCGTGAGTGAGAGTGCATGTCCTTATCTAATAAGGAAGGAAGGAAGGAAGAGACAGCCTGTGCAAAGGTTGGCCTGATAAAGGTTACTCCTGTCCACTTGCAATTCCCAGACTGCTTTCAAAATGAGAATTATGTGGCAAAACATTGCAGACTGAACTAATCTTGTTTTCTGTTATGATGCTTATGTGAGCTCCATTTGCCCTTACTCTAACAAAAATTTGCTGGTAAAGAACAAATAGGGCAACCATTAGGCGTAAAGGCCAAGCCACTAGCTCTGAATCAAAAGTGAAAAGGCATCAAGAAAACCCTCTATTTTTAAAACACAAATATCAAATACGTTAATAAAAAAGAAACACAAAGCAGATGCAATCTTCATAATCAGCTTTAAGATGAAGAAATCAGCTGTCTCCTCAGACAGGGCTTTGGTATCTGGCTGTGATTTGCATGTGAAATCTGCAACAATGAACAGTCTTAATGTCCAAAAGTCTTAACGAAAGCAAGACAATGGTTATTTTTGGCAGGAGACACTGCATGAAATGTGATACGCTCTTTAGAAAACTACCATTTCCCAAACTTGAACACATAAAAAGAAAACATAGATTTTAAAGGATCTGAGATTCACTGCGGCCAACTGAGCAGAGACCTGTGCTCAGTGCCCAGCTGCCAAAGTGTGTCAAGAGGGAAGGATGGGTGCAGGGCTTACAGGTGTGTACCAGGGGCTCCTGTGGGGCTGAGGGAACTTGTATCCTTTGGAAGGACTGGAAGACTATGTAACTGACAAGAAAATATATAACATTTTATGCATATTTTAAATCCGGTGGAGAAAGAGATGCATTGTGAAAAGATCTTCAAAAGTATGTAGAGCTCCAGCATTTCTAGCACATGACAGTCCAACAATGTCTAAAGCTGAGAGAAAACAAAGCTCATTTTATCTCAGGCCGTGGAGCACTAGGAAAGGCGTCAAGGTGTATTTCCTTTGGAATACAATTCTGCCTTCAAATGGAAGACAAGGCTGGGACAATTTGACAAGTTTTAAAGAGATACCTGTCTGGCTACTGTTAAAGCTTTAATAACCTAACTTCTTAGGATTTAATAAAAAGAGCTCCTGAAAAACAGTTTTTATCCTGTATGAAGCATCCCGTAAAAAAAAAACCAAACAAAAAAGCCCCAAAACCCCAAGTGTCCTGGAGTGGGTATCTCCAGATTTCCTATGACAATACACAGGCACAGTTTTCCAATGACGCTGTCAGACCCTGTGTCTGGGAGAGCACAGAAATGTCTACTGGAAGCACACATAGCATTAAATCTAACAGGCTAGGAAACAGTGTTTTGACTGAGAGATGGATTTTTACATGCTTTCCTGTCATACCCTGCTACATACTCATTGCCTATGATAAGGAGACCATAAAGATCTATGTGGGATTGCTTTGTTCATATGTTCACAGCATGTGATTGAGCATAACTATGAATGTGCTTGGAGGACAAAAATGTTATTTTAAGATTAAAACTGATTAGCTCCCCTGACTGCATCAGAGCAGAATAATAATAATATTCATGGCACCCATCAAATGGAAAAAAACATTAACCTAAAAAATCTAAAGAAAAAGAAATCAAAACCATGCTTTTCACAAGGGAAATAATAAATTGCTATTTGAACTAGAACTTGACATGTCAAAAATCCTGTATCATCTACTTTGATGGCACATTCTATGATATATAGTTTGCAATTCACATAATATCACACATATAATGAAACAATTTGTAATATTCCAGCTTCAGACAAGATTAACAAGAGTGGCAGCTCTGAAGGAAAAGATGTTGCATAGAACATACTAATGTTTGGGAAACAGAAAATATTTGGAAAGAGGAACACTATGAAAAAAGTTTGTAAGTAGAAAAAAGTATGTCTGTAAGAACATAAACCACAATACAAGGGATGAGGATTAGTTATAAAAATTTTGAGGAGTGTTCATGATATAGGCATTTCAGTGGTACGAATGTAGTGAAAGAAGAAGAAATAAAACATGCTGTTTGTTCTTTCACTACAATGATTGTGGTACCCCGACTGCTTCTTCTAGAGTAAAGAGTCAGTTTTGATGTACTCAAAAAAACCCCTGGGATTTCACTTTTTAATTTTAGATCATAGAATCATAGAATGGTTTGG